AAGAAATGGAGTGTAGCCATGATCAGTGGTTCAACAGCTGGGATGAAAGCTTGCGTGCTTTTGCCAAGGAACATTAGCTTGAGAGAACAGACCTAAGGTTTATTGAGGGAAAAAGCTAGGATTTTAAGAACTGGAATTTTAAAAACTGGAATTTTGATGAAAGAAGAAATAAGTCTGTTCTTAGATAACTTTCAAATATCAAGAGGAAATGGTTAAATAAAAAAGGGTAGAGGATGTCTGGGTGGCTCAGTCAGTTAAACTCTTGGTTTCAGCTAGGGTGGTGATCCCTGGGTCCGGGGATCAAGTCCCGAGTACACTCCTCACTCAGTGTAGAGTCTGCTTGAGATTATCTCTCCCTCCCCCTCTGTTCCTCCCCCTGCCCGCACTCTCTCTCTCTAAAATAAAATGAATAAATAAAATCTTAAAAAATAAAAGGGTAGCAAAGATTGAAACTTACCACTCAAGTCCATGACTGACATTTCTGGTGGCACAAGATATCTCTCAGCTTTCTTTCAAACTGTGTGTCTTAATTGAGACAAACACTGGGGCCCTGCAATGACATGATCAAATCAAGTGAGATAGCTCATTCTGATATAATGTGAAATTTGAACCTCTCGGATCTCTTTTTTAAAAACCCATATTACCAGTAGCTGTATCCCCATTAATACTGGCATTTGTGTTTAGCGCTTCCAGGTAGGATTCCCATGGCAAATTTTTATGAATTGGAAATCAGTGTCTTGGACTTAGTACATTTCTTTTCAACTTAATAAATTCCTTGCCCACATTATCAAACTAGACTTTTGGAAGGGAGGTAGAAGGAAGAATGCAGGTAGCTTTTCAGTTTAATAATCAAACCAGATGATTGTGTGATAGATTCCCCCGCCCAGCTGTTCAGCTGTTAGAAGCAGTTAGGATCTGTGATCTTTTATGATATGATATGATCTTTTATGATATGGAAAGTTTCCCAACATTACACAGTAGGAATGGAATGTTCCGATTCCTGGTCCCTCACAAGTTTCCTTTTATAGATTTGAAGGGGATTGGAGTTTAGCTCAGCTTTCTTATCTTCTTTAATATTATATTCACAGTTTTCAGGGAGATTCAGATAAAAGTAATATTGTACATCAGGAAGAAGAAATTAAAGGACGCTGTGATCACTTGTAACTATATTGTAATAACATTGTGAAGAATGGAGATAATCTATGATCCCAAAACACTGATTAGGAATTTAAGTGAAATTTACCATGAGTGGGTGGTATTTTAATGGTACCATGTTGTGATTATAAGTGAGTGTGGCCAAAATCAAACTCCTTTGATTCCAGCAGCTTTTCAGTAGAGCAGATGAAAATCTTTCCAAATCGCATTTTCTGTCAAAGTAGTTTTGAGCAGTGCTGATTATAGCCTAAGATCTCCTCAAATGTTTTTCACTTCATACACGGTCAGCCTATGTACATTTCTAATACCCAACAAATTAGAAAGTGTTATCTGATTAATCTGCAAGTATTTTAAAGTGTATTATTTGAATAGTCTTATCAGGAAGTCAGGTGATGCACTTTATTTAATTAATGCACTGTATTGGTGCCTCTGACATTAATTAAAGCAGCGTGGCCAGCTAGCTCTTCATTTTTCCAAAATGAGCTTTTATTGATTAATTGAGAAGAAAGAATCCAAAACTGTAAAGCATTGACCATTAAAGAGTTTACGTTTTAAATGCCTGGTATCTTGAAAACAAAGCATCTTAACATTTTAAGTGGATGTTTACCAAGTGATACTCTTCCCCAGTCAGGCACTGGTTTTTTTTAGGTCCAAGGTGAGGATTTTTTGTCACTGACAAATCTTTTCCAGAGAGCCCTGGGGAGGGGGGTGGGACTGGGAGTTTGGGTATTTATATTGTTTTATTTACTGTGAAGATCTGAGAATCTCAGCTTTTTTTTTTAATTTTATTTTGTTATGTTAATCACCATACATTACATCATTAGTTTTTGATGTAGTGTTCCATGATTCATTGTTTGCGTATAACACCCAATGCTCCATTCAATACGTGCCCTCTTAAATACCCATCACCAGGCTAACCCATCCCCCCACCTCCCTCCCCTCTAGAACCCTCAGTCTGTTTCTCAGAGTCCAGTCTCTCATGGTGCGTCTCCCCCTCCAATTCCCCCCTTCATTTTTCCCTTCCTACTATCTTCTTTTTTTTTTTTTTAACATATAATGTATTATTTGTTTCAGAAGTACAGGTCTGTGATTCAACAACAGTCTTACACAATTCACAGCGCTCAGCTTTAAGCAAAGGCTAAAATGCAAACCTAAGCATTTCCCAAATCCTTTTGGACATGTTAATAAATACAGCATCAGAAAAAGTTTTCTATGGCCCATTGGTTGGAATGCTTTGGACGTCACTGCCCCTCCCTGTGATTCCAAAATTCCAGTAGCGTATCAAAAGCTCTCAGAAAGCTCAAGTTATATATGCCCCTATAACTCAGCATTTCTCAAGCTTATTTGAGCATTTTAGCACTGACAGTCTTCCTCCCCAAAACACATAACCCAAAACTAATCATGAAAAAAATCGGACACATTTCAGTGGAGGAATTATTCCATCTATACCTGACCAGTATTTTACAAGGTCATCAAAAACGAGGAAAGTCTGAGAAATTCTCACAGCCAAGGGAAACCTAAAGAGACATGAAAAGAAATGTTAATGTTTGCAGGATGGAATTCTGGAATAACCAAAAAAAGGAAATTGCTAAAATTAAGGTAATCTAAGTAAACTATGGACTTGAGTTAATAATAATGTATTAATATTTTCTAATTAATTATAACTAATGTACCATACTGAGGTATTTAGTAACAGGAAATTGTTAGAAACAGGGGTGCATGGGAACTCTCTACTATCTGCTTAATATTTCGGTAAATATAAAGTGTTCTAAAATTAAAACCCAGTAATTTTTTTTAAAAGTGACATTAACAAGGAATATACTTCTTTTGGGGAAACTTCCTATTTACAAGTATTCACTCTGCATGCAAAATAGATTGGACAATGTAAAAATACGGAAATTCTAATTAAGCTATTTTCAGAAAAGAATTGTAAAGAAACAAAGGCATGTAAAGAGAAGGATGCTGAGCCAGGGTCTCAAATACGAAGGTCACAGTTGGAATCTAGGTATTTCTTCAGTCCATTAGACATTTGCCATGTCTGCCTTGGAACATTCTTTCAGTCCTATATAATATCTGGAGACAGATTTGCAAGTAACTCTTGTTATTGTAATCACCACGTTTTCAGGCTCTTGTTCCTATAGCAATAATTCCAGAAAACTACTTAAAATATTTTATATATAATGATTTGTGATATAGTGATTAGTAGTATCATTCTAATAACAATAACAAAGATAGTAACTACTATTTATTGAGCATGACTGAGACTGCGCTGAATGAACCCTTTATATTTTTCTGATCACACTTTATAACAAACAGTAAACTAGGCATCTTTGTCCTAACTTTACGGATGAGGAAACCCTTCTGTGGATCCAGTTCTTTACACGTTGTCAGTGATATAGGGAGGCTCCTTGGTTTATTCACAAGTCCTTCAATGTTTTAAAAGCTAAACCTCTTATATCCTTTTTAAATATGTTCTTAGGGACAATAAATATAACCCTAATAGAAAGCAATTTGGGGGGAGGTTAGGTATTGTAGTCAAATTAGTTTAAATGAGTTAACTCATCTACCTGGTATGAATAGAAAACTAGAATGAGAACCTGAGGAAAGCACTGAAATTCATTTAAAAAAAAAAGACAAATACTTATTAGGAATCCGGTAGGAAAGCTTACTTTCTTTATGGCTTAATTTATTTGTGATATCTCTAAACAGAGTTTAGTAACAGGAAGTAGATTTATTTTAATACAATTCTGTTTGCTTCTTTGGAGTTTTTTACTGGAGTTACTGGTTTTGAAAACAGCGAAGTGTTCTTAGTTTCCGTCAGAGACAGTCATTGCCTATGTCATTATCCTCAGTATGGGGACAATAAGGCATCCATGAGACTACCTTGCTGGCAACAGCTTTCAATAAGTGAGTGATGAATCACCTTTTCTTGACTACATCTCTAAACCTAGTGGCATTAGCGTGGAAGTGAAGGCCATGCGATATCTATCACTCACTTAACGTGTACAGAACACCCACTCCATGACTTATCCAAACTTTACTATAATTTACAGCTACCTGATATATGTCAGTGATTTAACTTCTCCATATCTGATTTGACTTAGTTGTGAAATAACATTATAAGGTAGGATGTGGGCCTAATACTGTTTTTTATTCTTTATGTAAGATTTATACTAAGAGAAAATCTTTGTATATCTATATATACTCTTAATCTGTAGATAGGGTTTAGGAAAGTTTGCTGAAAAATTAAGTCAAAACTATCTTTTAATATACAGTATCCAAGAAAACATCCACCTCTGGTTTGAACTGAACACCTTTGAAACAGAAAGGACTACTACATTAGACATTGTCTTTTCGAGGATTCAGGGAGAGTTGTGTTTTTAAAAGAGTAGTTGGAGTAACCTTCCCGAATTCATCATTTCCCCTTAGCCATTTCTTTTCTTACCTTTTTCTACCCAATTTCCTCATACTGTGGTTTTCCCTATTCTGAAGGATTCTTTGACTCTACTGTACAATCAATATCATATGTCAGTGAAAGTTAGATATCTCCTTAAATGCCAAACACTAGTTTAAAAAATATATATATACATGTATATGTATATATATATATATATATATATATATAAATTGATGATGGTCATATATTAAAGGAATAGATAGGCCAGAAAAGATCTGTTAAAAACCAAGGTATTAACAACAATTATTTGCTTGATAATAACAGTGGATTATTATGCATTTTTTTGGCCATAGCTAACCATTAAGTTTGCTATAAGTTTTCCCTGTCTTAGTAATCAGATCAGATTTTCCCAAATTGATGGCTACCATTTTTCTGATTCCAATCCCAGAAGAGGTCACAGGACGTGGAAAAATGGCAGATGATCGGAAAGATGAAGGAAAGGCGCCTCACTGGACCTCAGCTCAACTAACAGAGGCATCTGCACACCCACATCCACCTGAGATTAAGGATCAAGGCGGGGCAGGGGAAGGACTTGTCAGAAGTGCCAATGGATTCCCATACAGGGAGGATGAAGAGGGCGCCTTTGGAGAACATGGGTCACAGAGCACCTATTCAGATACCAAAGAGAATGGAATCAACGGAGAGCTGACCTCAGCTGACAGAGAAACAGCAGGTAACTAAGGGCTCCTCTGTCCCAGGGCTGGCTTTGTGCTTTGAAGTCTGTTTCATCTGAAAGTGAATTAATTTACTGCGATGATCCTCTTTCACTAGTGCTAGGACAGAAATTCCAGTCTGTCAGGAAGTAGACACCAAAAGGAGAGAAAAATCTTGGGAACTAGCCCAATGTTCCCCCAAATTAGTTGTATTCTTCATCTCATCTCCCTATTTAGTTTTTACCACTTTAATTTTAGTAGACAAATGGCTCAGCGTGTGTGTGTGTGTGTGTGTGTGTGCATGTGTGTGTGTGTGTTGCTAGTAACTATCAGCATTTTAACTCATTGAAAGAAGATTTCACAAATAGTTACTTCCTGATTGTCTTGAATGATATTGGACCTAAATCTGATTGACTGAATAGAAGCATGTTTACTTTTGGGGGCAGAAAGCAGTTTGGAGTCTATCTCCCAGCCTTTTTAAAGAAAAAAAAAAAAAGGAGAGATTGGGGTCCCTGGCTGGCTGATTTGGTGGAGCATTCGGACTCTTGATCTCCGGGTTGCAAGTTCAAGCCCCATGTTGGGTGTAGAGATTACTTAAAAAAATAAAATCTCAAAAAAAGAGAGAGAAGGAAAGGAAACACACACACATATATGGGAACCATTCCATACTTCCTCAGAGAGCTTTGTAAGAACTAATATTATAGATGCTTAAAGGAGAACATAATTTGATTTAGTCTTAAATACTTACTTTCAAAGTATAATTTCTACCAGCAATCTTCTTTCTTCTGTCATTCATAATATCGTCATTGATGGCATAGTCATTATATAGCATTAACAGCATCAAGAAGCACTCACCTGCACTGTATTCTTCACCATTATTTTCCTTTTTCTATACTCAGAATGTAATGTGTTTGAACACAGTAACTCGCAGATATGCTGCTCCAAAAAGAGTAGGTAAACTACAAGTATTAAGAAAGGCTATGCCCTCTTCAGAGTCATCCCCTGCCTAGTCAAACACTGGTTTTTCTGCACTCCATCAGTTAGTCAACAACACTTCTCAACTGTACACTTTGTTCAAAAAATATATTTAAATTTCAATGGGGTGAGATTAAAGGCATCTCAAATAACTGGGGAGCAATTACATAAGGACATAGTGTAATTTTTTAATCCCCTCATTCGATAGACTACTGTTGAATGTTTTCTTTTTTTTTTTTAGATTTTATTTATTTATTTGACAGAGAGAGAGAGAGAGACAGTGAGAGAGGGGATACAAGCAGGGGGAGTGGGAGAGGGAGAAGCAGGCTTCCTGCTGAGCAGGGAGCCCAGCGCAGGGCTCGATCCCAGGACCCTAGGATCATGACCTGAGCTGAAGGCAGACGCTTAACGACTGAGCCACCCAGGCACCCCTGTTGAACGTTTTCTATATGCAAGGTGTGTCAGCTTCTGTGCCAGGGCTGGTCTGAGCTTCACAGAGCAGATGATCCAGGAGCAGACATGAGACCTGTGCACACAATTCAAATGTGAAACACAATGTGTTCTGAGCCAAATGAGCAGTATAGAAAGGCAATGTTGAAGAGGGATCTTTCCTATGTAGGACCAAATTTCCCGAATTGTGCACAGAAGCATCTTGAGAAGTCACAGCAGACTCACACGGGGGTGGCAGAGTACTTTAATTGCTCGAAGGGAAACACAATGATACTCAGCATCTGTTAAACACCGCCTGACCTCAAGATAGTTCAGTTTCAACATTCGATCACATCACATTCCTTTTTAAGACTTATTTGTGTGAAGTCAGGTTTTTGGCAGTTGCTGTGTTAAGAAGCAAGGACCCTGCAGAAATTCAAGTGGAACAGGAGAGGAGACTGAGTGTGCAATCTAATTCAAGCATCTGAGAAGCTATGCAGTACTCAACAGCACATATGCCCCATTAGTAAGAAACTGTGGATATGATTGAAATAAAAATGTTATTTTTGCCTTTCATGGTCACGATGAGGATTAAATGAGCTGGTGAAGTGTACAAAGTCAACAGATCAAAGAATAGCATCTATTAATTACCATTATTGTTATTTGTGGTGGTGGTAGTTGTGTCAATATGGACAAGAGGGTACTCTTGATCAAGGCATCTTTTTCTACAGCTGAGTGTAGAATACATCTTGAACAGGGTGGGACTTGTCAGGAGAACTAACTAGAAGGCTTTGAAGAAATTGAGCCATGAGGAGATGAGGACATGCTGAAGCAAGATGGCTGTGGGGAAGGCAAGAGATAATGCGATAGGCCAAGGTTTTTCTCATCATCCTGTCCTGCAACACCTGACGTTACACTTCAAGTGCTCAATTTATGTATGTTGATGAATGACTGAATGAATGAGTGCAAAAGAAAAAAGAAAGTCCTTTTCAAATTAATGGTGAAAACTATTGAAAAGTCTTATCAGTTGAATCTTACAGAATATGATAGAGGCTTGTAATACACAAAAGAAAAAAAGTCACTGTGTGTGCTCAGTCAAGCAGTGAAGAGCCAACATCACTCGCTATTTCTTTTCAGTTGTCTTAAGTATTTAAAAGCATCAGAAAAATGTCTTTGCCAGGTCAGTGTGTCTTTACCTGCTTCTTTGAGAAAATAATTTAAATTAAAAAGAGATTAGCAGACGCTTCTTTTAATTTATGGGTTCAGGACCATCCAGAGTTAATTTTGAATTCAGTTCATCATATTTCACATGAATCTTATGTTACCTTTGGGAATCTGACTCCGGAAGTTCTTTATGTATGTTCATAGTGACAAAAGTTGTGAACAGTCAGCTGTGGATTAGCAGAGTAAGGTGTGCAATCCAAACTAGGGTGTGATTTTAAATTAACCTCCCTCCAGAAATAACAGGCCGTGTATTAAGTCCATACAATGTGGAAAGCTGTGGGAAAGGAAAAATGTACAATATTGACTCCTCGTACCTCAGGAGGATGTTCCAGTGATAAGCTAATGTGCAATTAGATTTCTCTCCAAACTTTGGCTTAATAAAATAATACATTTTATTATTGATGGTTTATACATAACTGTTTCACAAACAAAAATCATTCCCAATAAAAAGAAGTGTTCTTAAATCTCAAATATGGTCTTTAAAAATTCTGTCCTTCGATGGTCAGGTTCACTAACATGAGCTGGCATTATATTTCGAGGGGATTATCTTAAAGAGGACCAGAGGAGCAGTACACTAGCCTCCTCTTTTACCATTCACGTGTGATCTATCAGTACATTGTATTTTTCCCTTAGAAAAGATACTTCTTGGGGCACTGTTAACATGGCATATTTTCCAGTAACATCAGGTCTTCAGCCATACACTGTGGTGTCCAGGCCACTACTAGTTGAATCCAAAGATCTTTCTTCTCCTCTCGTACTTTACTCTAGTCCTCTCTTCATTGTTAGAAATGAATTTATCCCCAAGATCGTTTATTTTTATTCATCTCTAAAAGCAAGACCACATGATAAATGCAACACAATTACTGCATCTTTCTCCCCACCCCCTTTCCTTCATCAGGCGGGCTTACTTCAACTGAAGATCTGACCTCGTACTCTCTCACCTACCCTTTTCGATTTTCACCTTCATTTTTGGGTCATAATAATTTTTTATTTTTCTATATGCAAGCCCATAGGCAGCTTATCTTTGATCCTATGTGCTGAGACTGGAGGCAGGGAGAGAAGGGAATTCTAGAAGGCAATAATATTTTAAATTCTTTTTCTTTATGGATTCCTCTTCTAGATTTCATCTCTTTCCTTACAATTTATTTATTTTTTAAATATTTTATTTATTTATTTGACAGAGAGGGAGAGACAGCAAGAAAGGGAACACAAGCAGGGGGGAGTGGGAGAGGGAGAAACACTCCCCGCTGAGCAGGGAGCCTGATGCCAGGCTCAATCCCAGGACCCGGGGATCATGACCGGAGCCAAAGGCAGACGCTTAACGACTGAGCCACCCAGGCACCCCTCCTTCCTCACAATTTAAAGCTAATCCATAGAAAAGTAGATAGACTCATTTGCTCGCCTGTTGTAGCATAACTTTTGCTACTTTATGAATTTTTCTTACATTAATTCACTAATGTAACCTTTTTAGAAGCCATGCCACAAAAGCCCCCCCCAAAAAAAGAAATGAGAAACAATTGAGAATCTAGTCACTTAGGAAAGGTATTATTAAAATGAGACTAAAAACATCAATTTTTTAGTTTATTTTTTTTATTGAAGTATAGTTGATATACAGTGTTACTTTAGTTTCAGGGGTACAGCATAGTGTTTAGACAAGTCTATAGATTATGCTCCACTCCCCACAAGGGTAGCTCCCATCTGCCACCATGCAATGCTATTTAGGGCCACTGATGTTGTTCCCTAGGCTCTACCTTTTATTCCTGTGACTTCTTCATTCCATAACTGGAAGCCTAAACCTCCCTCTCCCCTTCACCCATTTTGCCCCTTCCCCTGCCCCATTCTCTCTGGCTACTATCAGGTCTCTGTATTTATGAGTCTCTTTCTGTTTTTTGTTTGTTTTAAAACAGTCATTTTTATTTTTTTTAATTTAATTTTATTATGTTATGTTAATCACCATACATTACATCATTAGTTTTGGATGTAGTGGTCCATGATTCATTGTTTGCGTATAACACCCAGTGCTCCACGCAGTACGTGTCCTCTTTAATACCCATCACCAGGCTAACCCATCCCCCGACCCCCCCTCCCTCTAGAACCCTCAGTTTGTTTCCCAGAGTCCATAGTCTATCATGGTTTGTCTGCCCCCCCTATTTCCACCCCCCTTCATTTTTCCCTTCATTTTTTTTAACATATAATGTATTATTTGTTTCAGGGGTACAGGTCTGTGATTCAACAGCCTTACACAATTCACAGCGCTCACCATAGCACATACCCTCTCCAGTGTCTATCACCCAGACACCCCATCCCTCCCACCCCCACCATTTTTAAGTTGTCTTCCAAAGCATGAATCATAAAAGGCTTATAATAAACCTTTCCTCTCTTTTCTAACTTA